TCTGCATTCAGCTCAGGTCATGGTCCCAGGGTCCTGTGATCGAACCCTGCATCAGGCTCTCTGCTCAGCGGGACGCCTGCTTCTCCCTCTCTCTCTGCCTGCCTCTCTGCCTACTTGTGGTCTCTCTCAAATAAATAAATAAAATCTTTAAAAATAAATAAATACAAATAAAAATTTGAAAAAATCAAAACCTACTTTAAGTGGACAGTGTCCTCCTTTTTTATAGAATAGTGTAGTCTTGTTGGTCCTCTTTCTAGATCATTTAGTGGCATACACTGCTAAAAGTTCTTCTTTTCCAAAAAAAAGTTATTTTCTTCCTTACTAACAGTCAATTCAAAATGTCTTCAGAGTGGCTCAATGCAGCTAAATTACTACATTTCCCTGTCTCCTTTGCAGTTGGGGTGAGTAATGATGAAGAACTCACCACTGGGTGGGGTTGCTGGGAAGGCTGGATGAAGGAGCCTAACTCAGTATACAGTTGGAGCCCCTTTTGCTCTTCGTTCCTTCTCTTTCCTTCTTACCAGGAATAGTGGGCTATGATGGCTGGGCCACCTGGCAGCCATCTTGCATGGCAGCTGCGTGCCAACGATGGCAGCACAGAAAGATAGGAACCTCAGCCCTAATCACTGTGGACCTGCCACACCAGTGCTGGTCTGTCAACCTGTGCATTTGTTTTATTTGAGAGAAAAGTAAACCCTTGGTGGATTCTAGTATCGTTCAAAGTATTTGCTGCCCTTCCCCACATGAAGATTATGTATCTCTACCGCACTGACCTGAGGCTTGCCGCAGACTTACTTTGGCCAAGGACTGAAAGTGACATGGGCGACTTCTCAATATAGCATTTATGACGAGCCACTGGGTGACTCTTCCTACTTTCTCTTTCCCTCCTCCTACAAGACCAGCAATATTCCATGTGGGGAGGTTCCTTTGGCCTGAGTCCTAGGTTAGCATATTATACAGTAGGTCCACACATGGTCTGCAAAGGACAGAGTAGGAATGAGAAATAAACCTCTGTTGCAGTAAGAGATTTTTTGTCTGTTATTGTGTCTGTATAACTTAACCATATAACCTCCATAATTTTTTTGAGCCAATACTATTTCAGGACTTTCTTACTGTCACCCAAATGCAATTCCCAACTCACAGGTTTCCCATTAGAGAGGGCTCTCATATGTCCCAAAAGGGCTGAAGACAGAACTAACGAATGGTTCCTCTGGCTGTCTGGCAGGCTCCCATGTTATTCTCTGGCAGCCACTTCCCTTGACAGGTTTCACCTTGTTCCTTCCTGCCATCCACGCCTTCTCCTGAATCTCCTTTGGTAACAGCTCCTCATCAATCTCTTATTGACCATGTGGCTTCTGCAAGACTGATTCGGGGATAAGCCTTGAGGTGGAAATGGGTTAGCCTGTGTGAGGGACAGCCTGGCAGCCATGGGTGGGATTTAAACAACATAGACGTGAACTGATTTTTATAAAGTCATCTGGCTGCTCTGTACAACTGTCGTTGTTCTCCTCGTTACTGTATGTGAAGCACTTATAACAGTGCCTGGCACACAATAGGTGATCTCTAAGTAAGCTGTTATTGGTGTCCGTCTAAGGGACGCAGAAGTGTAGGCAAGGAGGCCAGAAGCAGCTATTACCACCGTGTCTCAATAACAGATGGTGGCCTGAACGATACTGTGAGAGCAGGGGTAATGAGAAGGGGTCAGGCTGGAAATGTAGGGGTTTTCTGTTATTTCCTAACAGTTTACTTAGGATTTTCCCATTTGCATTTATAACTGTGTTGACACAGCGTGAGGGGTTTTGCTGTGATTGTTGCAGGGGATGTGTTTGGAGGGTAAAGTCCAAAGATGGGTTGATGGACTGGACGGGGATAACATGCTGAAGAAAGGATCGGGAGTGACTCCCAGGTTGTATGTCCAGTTCTTTAATGTTCCTTCACCTATCCATGAGCTCTGTCCGGACAGGAACAAGATTTGTCAGGGTCCTCTGGGTCCAGCAGGGGCTTTCTTACTCCAGGAGACACTCAGAGTTGCTGAATTAATAGAGTGCCAGAGGTGACCTATGTAAAAAAGTAAATCTGGACACACTGATCTGAGTTTAAAGACTCCTCTGCATCACTCCTACTCTGCATCAGGGTCCCTCAAGGGACATGGGCTGCTGGGGTTCCTGGGAGAGGGCATCTAGAAGGTATTAATGAAATTCACCCAACAAATATTTACTGAGCACCCACTATGTGCCAGGCCCTGTTTGAAGACTGGGGAAATAACAGAGAACAAGACGGAAAAAAATCTCTGCCTTCATGGAGCTGATATTCTAGGGGGCGTGCGGAGAGAGAATAAATGAATACATCAAATATGTGACATGCCAGATAATGATAAGCATTAAAAAGAAAAATAAAGTGGGAGAGGGTTATCATTTTACACAGAGTGGTGACCATAAAGGTAAGACCTTTCCACGTAGAGGGAAAAGCACAAAGTCCTTGAGGCAACAATGTGCCTGGCATGTTAGGGGTACACGGAGTTGCCAGTGACACTAGAGCATAGGGGTAAGGTGTAGGAGGGAGGAAATGAGGTCATACAGATATTGGGGATCCAGCTCCTGTAGGGCTTTGTAGGGCTTTCTGTCTGCTTCAGTCTCATCTTTTTGTCTTTTATAGAGTGAAGTGGGACCCAGGGGAGGATCTGTTGGTTTTTTGTTTTTTTGTTGTTTTTTTGTTTTTTTAATTTACTTGACAGAGAGAGAGAGATCACAAGTAAGCAGAGAGGCAGGCAGAGAGAGAGGGGGAAGCAGGCTCCCTGCTGAGCAGAGAGCTTGATGTGGGGCTCAACCCCAGGACCCTGAGACCATGACCTGAGACAAAGGCAGAGGCTTAAACCACTGAGCCACCCAGGCACCCCACCCAGGGGAGGTTCCCTGTGATTGCATTTGGGGATGAGTGTGTGGGAGTGGGTTGACCAATGAGGAGGCTACTAAAATAGTGCAGTCAGGTGGTAGTGGTAAGGGCCAGAACCAGAATGCAGGCAGAGAAGAGGGTCAGAAGTGGTCAATTCCTGATGTATTTTAAAGGGAGAGCCAGCAGGATCTGCTGATGGTCTGGATGAGGAACATTTAGACCAAGCACATTTAGACTAAGGCCACAGGGAAAAACCTGTAGTCCAAGAGAGTCAGGTTTATTTACCATGACAATGAGGGAAACTGCACACCAGAAGTATGAGAAGTCTCACTCAACAAAGGAAAAGACAGGATTATTATTTGGATTTGAGAGAAAGGTAAATTTTAGGTGAAATGTAAATGAAACTGGATAGGCTTAAAGCAAAGGAGAACTGTGTGGATAGATACTAGGTCAGGATTGTGAAGTGAGTCCAGGATCCTGCCTCCTTGAAAGCAATAAAGTTTAGGAAGATGTGGAAAACTGTGTCCAGAAATGCCCTTCCTGAAGCTCTGCACCTGGATAGAAGCAACTGAGGTTGCTTCTCAGTGTCAAAGTGACAACAACTCCAGGCATTGAGATGTTTCATTTTTACTGATATAATCCCAAATGGCGAAGTTTATGGCAGCCTATGATTTTAGAGAACAAATTTTCCTACTAAAAAAGCAGCAGTCACTCAAAGAAGGGGAATTTTTTTCACTTACATCCGCATGTCCCTGAGAAAAATACAGAAATGTTTTTCCTATTCAGCCGGATTTTCCCGTGTTTTTTATTCTAGCCGGGGTATAAGAAATGGGAAGACAGATTTTTTTTTTCTTTTTTTACAGTTCAAGCTAATTTTTACTTTCTCGAGTGTGAGGAAAGAAAAGAGGTAGGGATGACTCTAAGGTTGCCAGCCCTCAACAACAGGAAAGATGGAGTAAACTCTTAACTAAGAGAGGTTGTGGAAGGTTTGGGAGGGAGACAAGATCAGGAGCTCAGTTTCGGATGTTTTGCGTTTGAGATACCTCAAATTCGCGGAGATTACCAGCGGGAAGTTTTAGGCTCCCTCCACAGTCCTACTTCTCACACTCGCACCTGTAATTAATAGTTTATCCCTGCGCTTTAATACATCTGCACCCTTGTATGTGCTCTGTTTAGTGCTGAGAATACCGACTCTTCACTTTGCTACTAGCCCTGCTTCTAGACACCTGCAAGATGGACCAGCGCCCGGCACAGCCGCAGTTACCCTCGGGCCCCGCCCCGCGCTTGCGCTCACTTGTAGAAGCTCACAGGACGGTTGTCAGCGCCCAGTAGGCCCGCAGTGTTGGAGCAGTTCGGAGCCCGGCAGTACTTGGGCATGGCTACTCGACCCGGTTAAGTCCTGCCCAGGCTGCAGTCGTGCTTTGGTCCTCTCCGGGTGCCGCCGAACCCCGCCCCGCCCGCTCTTCGCCTGCCTCACGTGACGGCCCCTGGTGCCACGTCACGTGCAGGGGACTAGAGCGCCTGCGCGCTACGCGCCCAGCCGAGTTACCACAGTGATGCTCTGGTCACGTGGCAGATGAGGGCTAGGCGAGGCCTTCCGCGCAAAGCCAGCTCTTAGCCACCCGGCCCTTACCACATGTTGAGGGAGAGGTGGAGTCACGGCTTTTTTGAGCCTGCGCCAAGTGGTCCACTTTCAGCTCCACCCCTACGCTTACATCCGGGCGACTGCCCCTGTGTGGGTGGTTGCTTGGGGATGGGGAGTGTAGCAAAAAGCGAACTGGGGGCGTTGGTTTTAGCTACGTAAAAGTTAAAACCTAAATGTTTGTTAATGATAAAAACACCACATAAAAAACGCCACTTCTCTTGATCAGGCATCCTGTAAACTAGCTACGGCTCCACCCTGCCATATACTTTGCTCCACCTCTAAGCCCTCATTGGTCAAAACCGCCGCCCGGCCGCCCTGACATTGGCCAGACCCGGGCCTGCCGCGTCCAATGGGCGGCGGCGCCGGCTTTCCCGCGGCCGTTTGCTCTTCGAGTGGGTCGTGGAGGCTGCGGCAGCGGTTGAGGGGTTGAAGAGCGTAACGGTCGCCCGGCTCCGGTAAGACGATGGCGGCCTTGGGGCCCGGAGGCTACGCGCGGAACGATGCAGTCGAGAAGCTGCCATCCGTGGCGGTCGGAGTTCCGACGAGGAGGGGCCAGTGCTCTCCACCCCCAGCTCCGCCGCTCTGTCTCCGGCGGCGGACACGACTCTCGGCGGCGCCGGAGGACACGGTGCAGAGTCGGGTGAGGAGCTGTTTGTCCTGTCCACCCCAGTTCCAGGGTCCAGGGGCCTCCCCTGATCCCGCCCTTAGATCGTTGGCCCCGCCCTATCAGCCCTCAGCTCGTCCCCTCCGGCTCCTCTCCTGCGGGCTTTGTCTCCTAGGTCCCACCCCGTCATCCTGGGCTCCTCCCACTCTCCCGTCTCCTCCTACTCTCCCGTCTCCTACTCTCCCCGGTGCTGCCACCCTTCCTAGCAGGTTTCTCCCTTCCCCAGGAGTGTATTTTAATTCTAATCACCATCTACTCCCTCCTTCCTGCGTATCCCTTCAGTCACCTTTAGATGTCTCTCTGGGCCCTTCCATTTTTGTTGACCTCGCCCTTCGCTGGATCTTTAGTGTCCCTACCATGTTTAGTCCAGATACCTACCTACCTCGTCTGTCGCTCAGCTGACTCCACCTTCTCTCCCCACCTGCCTTCTCTTTCCTTTTCCTTTTCCAGTGTGGAATTTTTATTACACATTGCCACCCCAAATTATGGAGACCCATGTGAGTAATTGCAAAATCTCACCAGCGGCTCCCTGTTGCGGTGTGGCGGGGGTGGGCGGGGGGTGGCGTACAGAACAGTTCCCTAACTCCTTAGAGAAACAAAGAAGATTTTAAAGTAGGTAGAAGGAATGCCATTAGCACAGCAGCGATTTAAAAAACTTCTCCAACTTTCTGACCTACAAAGTCTGTTTTTATAAAATAGAAGCAACAGTAACCATACCATGGAGTTGCAGGGAGCAGAAATGAACTTGTGACTATGACCTGCTTGGCAGAGTCCAGGTAGAGGATGGAAACATGGTAGATGCTGGTGGATCTTGTTCCTGCCACAAGGATTTCTGCTGCACTATGATTATATCACCCGATACTGGCTGCAAGGCCAGTGCCCCTGCCCATCTCTCTGGCCCTACCTCCACTGTCCTCCCTTTTATCAACATTCAGTCACCCTAGCCTGCTTTCTGTTTTCCTTGAGGCTAAAAGCTCTTTTCCACTTCCTAAGCATTTGCCAAGTCCTCTTGGTTTTTTGCAGCAGTCCACCTGGCTGGCTCCTCATCCCTCAAGTCTCAGCCTGAATATCTCTACCCCGAAAGGCCTTCTTGAACCCCAGCCTAAGACAGACACCTACTTTACTCTTTTACCTAGCATCCTGTATCTTGTATGTTCCTGAAAGTGCCTCGTGAGCTCTAAACTGTGTATAAAATAGAGGAATAGCAATAGCAGTTTCAGAGAAGCGGTAAGCAATGGGGTGAAGCAGCTTCTGTACCCAGACTGCCTGGGCTTAAACCTTAATTATGTTCTTATTTCTTTTCTTAAGATTTTATTTATTTATTTATTTTGAGAAAGAGAGAGCAAGCATGAGCGGGGGGCTGTGGGGTCCTGGGATCGAGCCCTGTCTGCTCAAAGTGGAGCCTGCTTCTCCCTCTCCCTCTGCCTGCCACTCTGCCTACTTATGATCCCTCTCTCTTTCTCTGTCAAATAAATACATAAAATCTTCTTTAAAACTGACCATTGTAGGGGCACCTGGGTAGCTCAGTTGGTTAAGCGGCTGCCTTTGGCTCAGGTCATGATCCCACAGTCCTGGGATCGAGCCCTTCGTTGGGCTCCTTCCTCACTGGGGAAACTGCTTCTCCGTCTCCCTCGGCCTGCTGCTCCACCTGCTTGTGCTCTTTCTCTCTCTACCTCTGTCAAATAAATAAATAAATGAAATAAAAATAAATTTAAAAATTTTAAATGACTATTATATTTTATTAATATCCAGTAATGCTGATCGACAGATATAAAAATGTTGTGAGTGCCATTGCCAGATTGCTTGGGTTAGAGTCCTAGTGCTGCTCCTTCCTGGATGGGTGACCTCTCTGAGCCTCTTTATATCCTCATCTGTAAGAGGGAGACAGTGATGATGATGATGGCCACATCACAGGGTTATAAGTCAGTTCAACTGTAGGTTTTTAAACAGTTCCTGGCTCCTGGTAATTGCTCAAGAAGCCTGAGCTCTTATTATCCTCTGTTTGCCTCTCATTTTTTTTTTTTTTTAAGATTTTACTTATTTGACAGAGAGAGACACAGCGAGAGAGGGAACACAAGCAGGGGGAGTGGAGTGGGAGAAGCAGGCTTCCTGCAGAGCTCTGCGGGAAGCCCGATGCAGGGCTCCATGCCAGGACCCTGGGATCATGACCTGAGCGGAAGGTAGATGCTTAACTGACTGAGCCACCCAGATGCCCAATGGCATCTCATTCCAGAGACTAGCTGGGTTTGTAGCCCAACCAGGCAAACTGGGTACCTGGGTGGCTCAGTTGTTAATCCATTCTTGTTCCCTGCTGTCTCTCCTGCAGGGCCCGGGATACTGACTTTGGAGCCAGAGACTAGCTGGGTTTTAGCCCAACCTTGCCACTCCACAGGTGTGGGATTTTGAGACTCAGCGACCTCATCTGTGGAACTTGTGCCTTCTTCCTTGGGTTGTTGTGGGGTTTCAAATCTTTCATCCATATAAAATTCTTAGAAACTTACTCAGAGGTCATCTTTTCAGTGAGGCCTTCTCTCCTTCCCTGCTTTATTTTTCTCTTTGCTCCTATCATCACCTACATCTATTTTACATATTTGTTTTGTTTTTTATGTCCTCCATCCCATCACCACAAGAATGTGAGTTCCAGGAGGACGGGGATTTTGTCTGTCTTCCTCACCATTCTGTGTCCTTCAGAGACATGTTGAGAAGAACAAATGTTAGCTGTTGGTAGCATGACTGTAGAAGCTCAGTTAGTGTTGGAGGTCACAGGGACTAAATGGGTGACTGAGGCACTGGTGCCATGAAGGACCTTCTGGGACAGGTCGTCCTGACTTGGACTTTTTTCCCACAGGTGTCACTTGAGAAGGTACTTGGCATCACAGCCCAGAACAGCAGTGGCCTAACCTGTGATCCCAGCACCGGCCACGTGGCCTACCTAGCAGGGTGAGTGAATGGGTGGGCTTTGGCTTTGCCATCTGTAGACTGCAGATAAGCTGCCCACCCCTGAGGGCTGTGGAGAGGATCCCATGGGCCCATTGGTGTCTAGAGCAGTACCTGGCATGTGGTGAGCACGATGAAAGCCTTATTGTGACTGCAGGTGGGAGGTGGCAGCAATTCTGGGAAAGACCCAAGCTGTGGGGTCAGCAGCCTAGATTTGTGTCCCAGCTCCACCACGTGCTTTTCTGTGAGCACCTCCTTTTTCATCCGCAAAACAGAACTAGTGACATCCTCCTCTTGGGTAGTAGAGAGGACTGAAAGATATCCTCCTAACTGTTCATTCCACAAATACTGATCTAGCCTGGCCCTGTTCTAGGTACTGAAGGGACCCCTCCATGCCTATAGGGCAGGCCAGACCTGTAGTCATTCCTGAGGAACTGTACCTGTTATTCAGTCTTTGGGATGCAGTCCAGGGGTGGGCTCTTGAATCTGACAGTGTGTGGATTCATATCCCCACTCTGTCCCTGACCTGCTGGGTGGCCCGGGACAAAGGATTTTCCCTCTTTGGGCCTCAAGTTTCCTCATCTCTGAAAGGGGACTAAGATGTCCAACTTCCCCTGGGAGTTGTGAGGATTTAAAGAGATTGAGCACATAGGTCTTTATCAGCCCAGGGTCTGACAGAATAGTTACCACAGAGGAAGTGTTGGTTTCTGTTTCCAAATATATCATTTAATAACGTGCAGCGCCGTGGCATTCTCAGCATAGATACATGGAGGGGGATGAGAGACTCTTCTATTCAGAGGGAGCCTTATTTATGTGTGGGCTCTTCCGCTGGGATTGGAAGCATCCCTGGCCCCTAGCACTTCCTTTAGTTAAGGCACATTTCGCTCTTTCTCCCCAGCTGTGTGGTGGTGATTTTGAATCCCAAGGAGAACAAGCAGCAACACATTTTTAACACTGCCAGGTAGGCTGGGCCCTGGGCATTGGGTGGGGGTGGGTCTGGGGTCCTGGCATCTACCCACTTCCCCACATTGCTCGGAAGCTCGTGGGTGGGCGACTAACTCATTTGCTCACCCATCGGTTCAGCTACATTCTGCTGCTTTGTGCGAGGTAGCGTTCCAGGTGCTGAGGACAGTGAGAGTCTCAGCTCTTGCAGAGCTGACAGCTCAGCAGGGGAGACACTACACCAGTGGGCAAATTACTAGCCAACCCTGACCATTGCTGTGGAGGAAAGAACAAGGATGTGTTAGGGCAGGTGTACAGATGAAGAACCATGGGGGAGAGGGGAGCCATACCAGCAGGCCCAGGTTGGGCCTCCCGGAGGCTGAGACCTGAGAGAAATAACGGGGTGATCCCGTGAAAGTGTTCCAGGTAGAGGGAGCAGCAAGCACAAAGGCCTGGCCATGGTTAAGAATCTTGGGGTGTTTTAAGGAGCAGCTGGGTGGTCCTGTGCCTGGAATGAAGGAGTGAGTGTGGGGGAGATGAGGCGGAGACAGAAGCCACATCTGGGTATTGGTAATTTTTTAACTTTTTATATTGAAATAATTTTAGTCTTTAAAGAATAGTAGAAAAGGGCGCCTGGGTGGCTCAGTGGGTTAAGCCGCTGCCTTCGGCTCAGGTCATGATCTCAGGGTCCTGGGATCGAGTCCCGCACCGGGTTCTCTGCTCGGCAGAGATCCTGCTTCCCTCTCTCTCTCTCTGCCTGCTTCTCCATCTACTTGTGATCTCTCTCTGTCAAATAAATAAATAAAATCTTTAAAAAAAAAGAATAGTAGAAAGAATGCCTGTATACCTTTCCCCCATTTTCCCAAATGTTAACCTTTTACCACATTTGCTTTACCATTCTTGGTCTATATACATGGTAATTTTTTTTTTTTTTTTTCGGAACCATTCGAGAGTAAGCTGCCAACATGATGTCCTTGTACTGCTGACTCTTTCAGAGGGTGTTTCTGAGCCGGGGGCAGCATTATCCTTCAAAACCACAGTACAATCAGCAAAGGCAGGAAATTGAAATTGGTACATCACTACCATTTAAGCCTCTTTCAGGTTTTACCATTTATCCCCAGAATGTTGTTTTGTTTTTTTCCCAAGAATGTTCTTTATAGCAAAAGGATTCTGTCCAGTATCAAACGTTGCATTTAGTTGTCTCTTCAGGCTTTTTTAGTCTGAAGCAGTTTCTTCATCTGTTCTTGACTTTGATGACCTTGACGCTTGAGGATTACAGGCCAGGTATTTTGTAGAAGGCCCCAGCCTTCGGGCTTGTCTGATGTTTCCTCATAGACTGAGGTTCTATATCCGAAGAAAGCTAGATGGTGATGTCTTCTATGACTGGTAGTGTTCACTTGGGCCCTTGGTGAAGGTGGTATCTGCCAGACTTTCCCCCTGTGAAGCCTCTTTCCCTCTGGTGATTAGTGAGTATCTCATGGGGAGCATCTCTGAAACAGCAGATATTACCCTGTTCCTCACCAAACTTTCATTCACGAGTCCTAGTGTGGCTTTGATGTTTTTCAAAGGCTCCGCAGGGAATTCCGATGCGCGGCCAGGGCTCTGCCCAGTCGGATTAGGTAACATCGGGAGGACTCCCCCATGTAGAGGTCTCCTCATCTCCAAACTGGCTGAGAGTCCTGACTTCCCAGAGTGTGCTTGAGGAATGAGGGCCATGATGCCCATATAGCATTTGCAGAGAGCAGGGCACGAGTTCAAGGTGGGCGACAGGTCAGGGGTGGCTGCAGACAACAGAACCCCATAGAAAGCATGGCTTCAAATGCAAGGGCACACCGTTCTTGCACGAATGAAGTCTGGAGGCGGGCACCCAGGCGGCTGGTGTGTCTACAAGCATCAGGAACCCCCGTCTGCCTGCCTGTCTGTTCTGTCGTGCCTTCTGTGAGGCTCCTGTTCTTGAGGTTGCCTCATGGTCCAAGATGGAGTTCTGGCTGTTGTGTCCTTGATTCAGAAGGGGAATGAGTGGGGATGAGGGCAAAGAGTTCCCTTGGAGAAGCTTTTCAGGAAATGGCACAGAGCATTTCAGTGTACCTGTGGTTGGCCGGAAGAAATTGTGTAGCTGTGTCTGTGTAGCTGCAAGAGAGGTGAGGAGATGCACTCATGCTGGGGACGCTGCCTTCCTAATTCAAACTCGGATTCTATCGGTGAGGAAGGAGGGGCAGGTGGCCATCGGATGGGCAGCTTGCCTCGTCTGCCGCTGTGGGAGCGATGAGAAGCCTCCAGAGTTGAAGCGATGATGATGATAAGCGTTCTGTGAGGTCATCAAAACTCAGCATTCACTTATTATTTACACACCAAGTAACTCACGTGTGGGGGACACTTACCAGACTATTAAGGAACACAGATAGAAGAGGGAGGGGAAAAGAAAACAGTGTGGTCTGGGAACCATGAAACTTGCTACCCAAAAAGTGTGTAAACTAGTCTGGTCGTTCAGTCCTTGTGCAGGCCAGAGAGAAACATGCTGATCGCTTATGGGTTTTCCAGAACACCTTGCATGATTAACAGTGAGCCACATGCTGCAGACTGTCTTGTGTACTGCCAGGATCCTCCCTTCAGCCCCACCCCCAGAGTTAGGCTGGATTGGTACCATTTCCTGCACCTGAGTTTCTCAGGGTTACGGTGGGTGGGCTCTTAGGGAGCCCCACCACTCCTGAGGGAGAGGAAAGGAAGGTCCCTGTCCAGTGACCGTCCTGTCTGGGTTTGGGGCCTTTGCTTTTACCCGCATTGCCCTGGACCACTGACCCCCTTCTGGCAGCAGAGAATGCAAGGGACGCATGGTGTGCTCTTCTGGGCACACAGGCAGCACTGGCTCCATGGGAGCAGCTGGCACTTGCTTCTCCTCTTAAGGCTTGGAAGCAGAGAGTGGGCAGAGTTCTGTGAGCACAGCCAGACAGGGGTCTGACTGCCTGCCCGCCTTGGAACCAGTGACCAGCCCCTTTCCTTACCCCCAGGAAGTCTCTGAGTGCTCTGGCCTTCTCCCCTGATGGGAAGTACATAGTGACGGGGGAGGTGAGTTGTGATGGTGATTGAGTGGTTGGGGAGGGATCTTGGGGCCATTCCTTCTACCCTTCAGGAGGCCTGGGACATCCCTAGAATAGCTTATACCCAGGCCAGAAAGCACCATGGCAGATGGGGGAGGCAGCTTTTGGATACATCCTGGGGCAATGCCAGTTTCAGCCCTAATAGCCCTTCTAGCCCCCGCCTGGTGCAGAACCTATCAGCAGTCATGGCCCCGCCTTCCCCAGAACGGGCACAGGCCTGCTGTGCGCATCTGGGACGTGGATGAGAAGAGTCAGGTGGCAGAGATGCTGGGCCACAAGTACGGCGTGGCCTGTGTGGCCTTCTCCCCCAATATGAAGCACATTGTGTCCATGGGCTACCAGCACGACATGGTACTCAACGTCTGGGACTGGAAGGTGAGACAACTGGTGGGTGTGTGGGCTGCCAGAGCACCCTGAGGCTTAGGCACTGAGCAAACTAAATGAGATAATTTGGTGAAGTGTTCATTTATCCAGAAAATATTTATTGAGCACATACTGAATGCTGATCCCTGTTCTAGACACTTACTATAAGGCATATGACAAGCTCTCAACTAGTGGAATTACGTAATTATTTTCATATCAACCAGCTATGACCTTGAGCAAGTGACTTGACTTCTCTGTAAGTCTCTTTCCTCACCTGTAAGATGGATATGCTGGCATCTATCTCATTGAGTTGTGAAAATTCGGTGAGCTGTTATGTGCTGGAAGGCTGGACTTTGGAACAGCTAGGGGAGGACTTAGAGGTAGCAGACGTGGGTACCAAATCCTGGCTCTGTTCATTACCTGCTGTGTGACCTTAAGCACATAACACCACCTCTCTGAGCCTGGCAGAGGTGGGGAGAAGCACCTTCCACATAGGACTTTCGAGATGATTTCATGCTGTGAAGGCTCAGCCATGTGTGAGCTGTAGAGCTTGGACTCTTGGGGAGAGCTCTGGAGCTTACACATGGAAACCTTTCCAAGCCTCAAGTCTCCTCTGTCACTGGAGGGCCCAAAGAAAACTGACTTGGAGCAGGAGAGGGTAAGGAGATGAAGGGCTGAGGGCAAAGGCACAAATGGTCCAATGGACGGGTGCTGGCATGAACTTGTCTGCATTGATTTTTCCAGAAGGACATTGTGGTGGCTTCCAACAAGGTATCATGCAGGGTCATCGCCCTCTCCTTCTCGGAGGACAGCAGCTATTTTGTCACTGTAGGGAACCGGCATGTGAGGTTCTGGTTCTTGGAAGTCTCCACAGAAGCAAAGGTAGGTTTCTGCCCCTGCTCCCTTAGCCAGGCCTGGGAAGTAACCATTAGGGGCGGTGTGGACTCCTGTTTCTACTTGAGATTTGAAGGCGATAACCTCAAAAGTTGTCTGGCCTCTGGTTCAACTTCTCCTTCCGGGCCTGCTCTTTAGGTGCTGTCAGGCCCTGCTGGGAAATCCACCACCCCCCACCCTCTCACCCCACTACCCCCGACCCCCAGCACTGACCCTGGGGCCAGACCTCTTTCCTGGACTGCTGCCTCCCAGAGTCTCTGCCTGGAAGTGTGTGTTCTGTTTTTCTCTTCCCTTCTCCATTTGGAGGAATGTCTTAGAGTCTTTTGTTTAGGTATGTGTCATAGTCTCTGGTCAGGAGAGTCCCATTGCGACCTTGCTGGGATCTAGGCCATGTGGACAGTGTCTTCCTCTGTCCTGCTGTGCCTCCAGGTGACAGGCACTGTGCCCCTCGTGGGGCGCTCAGGGATCCTGGGTGAGCTGCACAACAACATCTTCTGTGGCGTGGCTTGTGGCCGGGGCCGGATGGCAGGGAGTACCTTCTGTGTGTCCTACTCGGGCCTCCTTTGCCAGTTCAACGAGAAGAGGGTGCTGGAGAAGTGGATCAACCTGAAGGTACCCCACCCTCCCTCCTTCCTTGCCGTCAGTGGGGAAAACATTCTTCCCAGGACACGTGTCTCCAGGGACACTCAGTAATATCCCTGCCTCGTAGTTGATCCCACTAGGTCTGGGTTTGACTCCTCAGAGGTTCTGCTCGTGAGACTCTGAGTGAGTGACTCTCCCTCTCCGAGCCTCAGTTTCCTCATCTGTAAAATGGAAATCCTGCTGCCCACCTTGATCAGGGAGTCCCATGATGTAATATATAGAAGGTACGCAGCATGGTGCCTGGTACCCTGTGATGGGCTTCGTTACAATTGCTCTCCCATCACTGTTTGATGAGCACTCTTGGCTGGTGGGAGAACTACATCTTTTTTTTTTTTTTTCTAACCTAAGGTGTTACTGACTTCATTTTTTAGTCAAAAAAGGGCTGTATTAAAAATACGTAACATTTTACATTAAAGGATGATATAGCTATAAATTGCAGACCACTTTTCTTCAGGATCTGAGGGTTTGAATCCAAACCGTTTTCTTGTTCTGAGACTGGATGGCAGGAACATCATGATTTTCCCTCCTTTTCCTACCCCTGCTCTTGTGGATCCCCTCCAGAGCTCACCTTTAGGGCTAAAGGCACAGTGTCAGGCTTCTAGAATTCTAGAAGAATTCAGAGTTTCATCTGTTTTTCCTAGTCGGTTAAACATCATTTTTTTCCCCCTCATTTGAATCCTCTTTCTAGAACTTTAGCTGCTTAAGCAAGTCCAAAGCTTTTGACAGTTAGCCCCTGAGCAGTTGTCTTATGCTCAACTGCTCAACAGCAGTTGTCATACTTAATGACTTATAAATTAAGTCCCTCTCGATCTGGAAAAGCTCCTCCAATCTGCATCTAGGGGTCTGGCCCTTGCTGCCCCTTCCATCTGTGTATCCTGGTAGGATAGATCGCCTGAGAGTCTTTCCTGTAAACGGTCTCATTTTTCTGTGTTGCTCTGAAGTCTAAGCTCTCTGAAATTGTTTTTAAACAATAGAGAATAAACTGTAAGCGTCCGATCCCACCCTGGAGCCACAGGCTCCCTCTCCAAAGTCCCAGCCTGCTGCACAGATGATCCCCCACGCACAGCTGACTTCCTCTGTAGACACCGATGACCGTTCTGTCACCGTTTATGCCTCTCCCTGCTGGCACATTTCCTTCAGTAGTGACAGCTATATCCTGATTCCAAAAGTTTAAAATTTGCTGAAATGGACTTCTTAGGCCCAGGGAACTCTCAGGCTTCTCTGGAGGCTGACGTCTGCTCTGTTAGTCCCTATGTCTCTGCACTGGGCTACGTGGAGCACCACGTCCACTTGGGTCCCCTTTGCCTCCACAGGTCTCCTTATCCTCCTGCCTCTGTGTCAGCCAGGAGCTCATCTTCTGCGGCTGCACGGATGGGATCGTCCGCATCTTCCAGGCCCACAACCTGCAATATGTCACGAACCTGCCCAAACCACATTACCTGGGGGTGGACGTGGCTCAGGGCCTGGAGCCCAGGTACTGCCCTGCAGAGGGTGGGGGTGGGGCTTCCAGCTTCATGTACCCACCTGGCCAGCCCTGGGCTGGAAGGATAGAGCCAGAACAAGGCAGCAAAATCTCTGCCCCCATGAAGTCTGTGGTCTGGTGAGGGAGCTTGATGCTAAACAATTATACAAACAAGGTCATTTCAGAGAGTCCTAAGTGCTTCGGTGACATAAACCAGGAAGGAAAGTGCCTGGGGGTGGGGCTGTGTGGACTGGGAGCCAGAGGAAGTCTCTGGTGAGGAGGAGCCAGCTATGTGGGGAGGTGGGTCCTGAGAGAAGTGTAAAGACTGAAGGGCAAAAGGCCCTGGGTGTGGCATGTGGCAGGAACAGCCACGGGCTGTATGGCCGGAGCCTAGTGTGCCAAGGGAGGATGTTAGGAGACAGGTCTGAACATTGACGGAGGCTGGCGTGGGGAGCTTATAGTCTCTTCTGAGGTCATTGGGTGGCCCCTGGAGATTTCAGGCGTTGGAGTTAGTTGTATGGTCAGCCGTAAGCATTAGATCCTCTGGCTGCCATATTGAGAGCGGGTGGAAGGGCTGAGCTGTGGTGTATCTTTGGTGTAAGGCTGTTGGGGGGAGCGGCTACCTAACCAGGGGGTGCTGGGTGCCTGGGGCTGCCTCTTTGTAGGCTGCCGGACACTACCTCCTGGGTACCTTTTCCAAGTGACCCACAGTGTTGTGTCACAGTGGCCAGGCCGTCCAGTTCTGCCACCTTTGCTGTGTGTGCTTTCATTTCCTCATCTGTGAACTTTAGTACTGACCTTTCCTGGAGACTGGGAACTCAGTATAGCTAAAGCTCTCAGATCGGCCCATAGTAAGAGCTCAGTAAACTGTAGCCTTTGCAGGAAGGCCCCAGGCCAGGGGACAGCTCCCCAGTCCCCCAGCATAGGGATATTTGGTCATGTGTTGGCAGGGCTAATGAGAGAGAACTAAGGTACATGCCCATTATCCTTCCCTGCTCAGAGAGAGGTGAGTGAGAGAGGGTGGGCTAAATGAGCGGAGGTGAAAATTCAGATGTTCTCAGGGGCCAGGCAGAAGCTTCCAGTTTACAACCTCTGTACTAGAAGCAAAAGCAAAGGAAGCAGGGAGGGAGGAGAGAGACGTAGAGCTGGAATGGAGATGAACCACCCCAATTAACATAAGAGAGGACAGTGCCAGGGAAGAGGCAGTTCAGAGTGTCACCAGCGGCAGCTGTCACTACTCACACTGACATTGATGGTGACTGACGACCCATGTGGTCTTGTTAGCTTCCTCTTCCGCAGGAAGGCAGAAGCAGTCTACCCAGATACAGTGGCACTGACCTTCGACCCCATCCATCAGTGGCTGTCTTGCGTGTATAAGGACCACAGCATCTACATCTGGGATGTCAAAGACATCAACAAAGTAGGAAAGATGTGGTCAGAGCTCTTCCACAGCTCCTACGTCTGGAACGTGGAGGTGAGCCCCTCTTTTCGGACCTCTGCCCCTGCTCAGCTCCCATCCGGGGCTTAGCTGGGGAAAGCTTCTGCAGTTCGGGGAACCCATTCAGGCCTTCCTTCACAAGATAGCCATGGCCCCAGATTGATACCAGATGCTGTTCAAGGTGCTGGGGACACAGCTGGGAAGGAAACTGACAACGGTCCTGCCCTGCTGGAGCTCACATTTGGGCAGGAAAGTAAACTCACGCATGTCATCGGTAATAGCCAAGCGGCACTACCTCTCCAAAGACAAAAGAAAACAGTGTTAAGGAAAAGGGACCAAGGGTGCTATTCTAGAGAGGAGACTGATCGGGGAAGGCCTATCTGAGGATGTGACATTCAAGCAGAGACCTGCAGGAGGCGAGGGGCAGAGGCAGGCAGCTGTGCAGGAGAAGGGCAGCAGGAGCCTGTGGACCTCGGGGAGCGCACTGTGGAGGGCCATTTGTGTAGCTTAGTGCTTTTTCAAGTGCTGAAGTTTTCTGGGAGTGAGTCTTTGGGGTGTTTTCATTCTCTAAAGCTGTTCTAAGTTTTCCCTGCAAATAAGACAACTGATGGGGAAATAATTGTATTCTACCTCCCTCTGCCCCTGAAAATTTCTTACTGCTGTTGGAGCGTTTGTCCTTGGAGAAGTTATGTTTTCAGTGGCCCAAGTCAGAAGGGGGAGCAATAACTTGATCCTTTTGAATAAGCATCATTCAGCCCTTTGCCTGCGACTACTTGAATCCCGTTTGCCTTCACGGATCTGACGTTTCTGCCGACAGCACTTTTCTCACTTAACAAGAATGTTTTTTAAAGAACTTTAAAATTTTATATATAAAATATTTTCCTTGGAAAAAAAGGTGAAATATTACAAAGCTAAAGTCTATCTTGATCACCTCCCCACCCCACAAACCCTCACCTTTGTTATTTATTATGTTCTTTCAGTTCATTTCCTTGCATCTGCCTGTTATTTGTATATATCTATTTCCTCAACAGAAATATCTGTGGGTGCATCTTTTCATCAGTTCTGGAAAGAATAGCCAGGACAGATTTAAAAATTGTCTCTACCTCATTCTTTCTCTTCTTCTGCAACTCCTAATGTCCTGCCTCTCTATCCTTCATATTTGTTTAAAATAACCCAGATCTAGAAATCCACATGAAGGAAATGTACAATTTATTGATTATTGTTAGCAGCTGTTGATTGCTCAATGCCTAGATCCATTTACTCCTTGGGGGTTGCGATATGGTGATATTCTAATTCTATCATTTCTTTTTATTAGTTGGACTACTTATATGAAGAAACACTTCCCCTCATCTACCATTTGGTCACCCAGTGGTACACTTCATATAGGAAAGGCAGGATAAATGCTTGATTCTTTCCCTTTATTTACCAGTTTTCAAGATAATGAATTGGTTCCCTGTTCTCTAAAGGTAACTCGTTGTTTTTATTTAATATCATTATATATTCACATATGTAAATATATTGGAATATATTTTAATCATTACAATTATTAACATTATTGAAGCTCAAATTGTCCCATCTTTGACCAGTGGGAGCCTCTTCTAGTTGGCTCCTGAGTCCTTTGGACATGACCCCAACAGTCTTTCTTTGGGAGCTACCTTGCTATTTGAGATGACAAGATGTTCCAGCCTCATCTTGTACATTTCTTATCCCAGACCTAGAATCAACCATTTCTTAAAGAAGCCCTGTGTTTTGTTTTCAGTTTGACTTGGTATTTCAAATTCACAGTCTTGAGTGCCGGGGGTGCTCATAGGTAGTGGATTGATGCTTCCGGAATGCTAAAGACATGGGGGATGATGGAATTAGAATATCCCCGTTAATCATTTACTTATCCCCACATTATAGGTACAACAGTTTAAGAATGGCAATTACTCAATTTTGAAAAGAGTTAAAACAATTTTTTTGCATATGTTCTCTCCACTCTCCCCCGGTTTTTAAAAATATACTACATCTATGTGATCTGATCATGTAGCCATTATATACCATATTCTCTCCCTTATGACCCCATTTTTTTAGGGGGTATAAGTGTACATATGTATTATGGTGAAGTACACATAGCATAAAATTCGCCATTTAAACCATTTAATTTTTTTTTTGAGAGAGAGGAAAGCGTGTACACGCATCCATGCATGCACAGGTTGAGGAAAAGGGGCAGAGGGAGAGGGAAAGAGAGAATTTTTTTTTTTTTTTAAGATTTTATTTATTTGACAGACAGAGACCACAAGTAAGCAGAGAGGCAGGCAGAGAGAGAGGAGGAAGCAGGCTCCCTACCAAGCAGAGAGCCCGATGCAGGGCTCAATCCCAGGACCCTGAGACCATGACCCGAGCTGAAGGCAGAGGCTTCAACCCACTGAGCCACCCAGGTGCCCCGGAAAGAGAGAATCTTAAGCAGACTTCAAGCTCAGTGCAGAGCCTGACTCAGGGCTTGATCTCACCACCCTGAGATCATGACCTGAGCCCAAATCAAGAGTCAGACACTTAACTGACTGAGCCACCCAGGTGCCCCTAAATCATGTTAAAATGTACAATTCAGTGGCATTTAGTACATTCATAATGTTGTACAACCATCCCTACTATCTAGTTCTGGAACATTTTCATCACCCCAAAAGGAAACACTGTACCTGTTAAGCAATTACTCCCCTTCCCACTCTCCCAGCCCTAATCTGCTTTCTATCGCTATGGATTTGCTTGTTCTGAATATTTCGTACAAATGGAATAATAGAATATGTGGACTTTGTGTCTGGCTTCTTTCGCTTAGTATGTTTTCAAGGTTTATCCATGTTATAACATGTTTCAGTGCTTCATTCCTTTTTAAGGTTGAATAATATTCCATCGTGTGGATATACCACATTTTGTTCATCTGTTCATCACTTGATGGACATTTGTGTTGTATCTACCTCTTGGCTATTATGAATAGTGCTGCTCTGGACATTCATGTACAAGCTTTGATTATCGGCTTTCAGTTCTTTTGGGTCTATACCCATGAGCAGAACTGCTGGGTCATAATGGTAATTCCTTGTAGCCTTTTGAGGAACCATTAAACTTTTCCGTGGCTGCACCAATTTTAGATTCCTCCTCCTTCTTTTTTTTTTTTTTTTTAAAAGCAATTTCACCTGCGGCTTGAACTCACAACCTTGAGATCAAAAGTTGCAAACTTCCAATTGAGCCAGCCAGGGGCTCCTCACCATTTTACATTCCCAACAGTGATGTATGAGGATTCCAGTTTCTCTGCATCCTTACCAATATTAGTTTTTTGTTTTTTGGTTTTAAATTATAGCGATCTTAGTGTTTGTGAAGAGGTACTATGTTGTGGTTTTGACTTGCATTTCCCTAATTGTTAATGATGTTGTTGAGCATCTGTTCGTGTACCAGTTGCTAATTTGTATATCCTTGGAGAAATAGATTTTCAAATTTTTTGCCTGTTTTTTACTTAGGTTGTTTGTATTTTTGCTGTTGAATTGTAAGATTCTTTATATATTCTGGATACCAGACCCTCATTAGATATGTGCTTTGCAGATATTTTCTCTCATTCTCTGTTATCTTTTCACTTTTTTTTTTTTAAAGATTTTATTTATTTATTTGACAGAGAGAGAGACATCACAAGTAGGCAGAGAGGCAGACAGAGAAAGAGGGGGAAGCAGGCTCCCTGCTGAGCAGAGAGCTCGATGCAAGGCTCGATCCCAGGACCCTGAGACCATGACCTGAGCCAAAGGCAGAGGCTCCACCCACTGAGCCACCTAGGCACCCCATCTTTTCACTTTTTTGATGGTATCCTTTGATGTACAGAGGTTTTTAATTTTGATGAAGTCTGAGTTATCTGTTTGTATCTTCAGTGTCATAGCTAACAAATCATTGCCAAATCCATGATCATGAAGATTTCTTTTTCTTTTAAGACTTTTAAAAGTTTTATTATTTTAGGGGTGCTTGGGTGGCTAAGTTATTTAAGTGCGTCCAACTCTTGATCTCAGGGTCATGAGTTCAGGCCCTGTGTTGGGCTCCACACTGGGTGTGGAGCCTACTTAAAAAGTTTTATTGTTTTAGCTCTTTCAATTAGGTCTTTGATCTCTTTTGAGATAATTTTTGTGTATCCTTGAAGCAGGGGTCCAACATCATTATTTTGCATGTGGATATATAGTTCAAGCACCATTTATTGAACAGACTATTCTTTCCCCATTGGATAATCTTGGCACACTGGTTGAAAAGCAATTGACCATAGATGTATGGGTTTAATTTTGTATTCTCAATTATATTCCACTGATGTAGGTCTATCTTTATGCCAGGAGTACATTTTTTTAAATTATTGTAGTTTGTGGTAAGTTCTGAAATGAGGAAGTACATTTCCAACAACTTTGTTCTTCTTTATCAATATTTGTTTGACTCTTTGGGGTCCCTTACAATTCCATATGAATTTCATTTTTTTTTTTTTTAAGTTTTTTTTTTTTTTAATTTATTTATTTGTCAGAGAGAGAGAGAGGGAGAGAGAGCACTGGCAGATGGAGGCAGAGGGAGAAGCGGGCTCCCCGACGAGCAAGGAGCCCAATGTGGGACTCGATCCCAGGATGCTGGGATCATGACCTGAGCCGAAGGCAGCTGCTTAACCAACTGAGCCACCCAGGTGTCCCCCATATGAATTTTAGAATCATCTTTTCCATTTCTGGGGAGGGAAAAAAAGACTTTATCTCCATTGTAATCTTTATTTTCTTCTTCCTGCCAGCTTTTGGTTTAGTTGCTTTTGTTTTTCTAGTTCCTTCAGTGAGACTTTATTGATTTGAGATTTTTTTAAAGATTTGTTATTTTTATTTTGAGAGAGGTTTGTGTGGTGGGGGAGGTGGTGGGCAGAGGGAGAGAGAATCCCAAGTAGACTATGCTGATTGCAGAGCTCACTGTGGGGCCCTATCCCATGACCCTGAGATTACAACCTGAGCCAAATCCTAGAGTTGGACACTTAACCAACTGAGCCACACAAGCACTCCTAAGATTTTTTTTTTTTTTTCTAATTTATTTTGGGGGGAGAGAAAGAGCGAGAGCACAAGCAGGGGAAGGGGCAGAGAGAGAAGCAGACTCCTTGCTGACCAGGGAGCTTGACTTGGGGCTCCATCCCAGCACCCTGGGATCATGACCTGAGCCAAAGCTAGACACTTGACAAACTGAGCCATCCAGGCACCTCAATCTTCTTTTTTAATGTAGGCATTTACAGCCATAAATTTCCCTCTGAGCATTGCTTTTGCGGCATGCCATAATTTTGGTATATTGTGTTTTCATTTTCATTTGTCTCAGAGTATTTTCTAATTTCTCCTTAATTTCTTCCTTGACCCATTGATTGTTTAAGAGTATATGGTTTAATATTCATGTATTTGTTAATTCTCCAAATTTCCTTGTTATTTGTAATTTCATTCCAATTGTGGTTGGAGAAGATTGTATGATAACAGTCTTTTAAAATATATTGACTTGGGGGTGCCTGGGTGGCTCAGTGGGTTAAAGCCTCTGCCTTCGGCTCAGGTCATGATCCCAGGGTCCTGGGATCAAGCCCCACATCGGGCTCCCTGCTCAGCAGGGAGCCTGCTTCCCTTCCTCTCTCTCTGCCTGCCTCTCTGCCTACTTGTGATCTCTGTCAAATAAATAAATTAATTAAATGTTTTTTAGATAATTAATTAACTAATTAATTAATTATTTTTTAAAAGGTTGATTCTGAAAGTTTTTTCCAGCTTAAGTTTGCTTTGGTGGAAGGATAGATTTTTGGAGTTCTCTGCTATGCCATTTTCAGCAATGTCACTTGACACACATTTACTCTTTGTTCTGCAAGTAACTGCATCCTTTTACATAGACATCTGTTGACATCTCTAGTTGTTTTTGTTGTCCAGAGCTCGTTCTTTAGAAGATTTAACAGGAGCAGTTCATGGGACAATGTTTTCTGAGTTTTTGCATTGGGTGAGCTTATATTTACCCTTCATACTTGAAAGTCACCCCTGCTGGATAGAAAATGCTTGGCTCATATTTTCTTTCTGTCTATGTTAAATATGTTGTTTTATTTTCTTATGGTTATTGAAATGTCTGATGGTTTTAAGTCACTTGCTGTGTTTCCCTAGAAGCCCAAAAGATTTCTTTTACTTGTAAGTCTAGTAATCCTACTCTAGAGTGTGTCTTGGTATTGGTTTTTTTAGGTAGACATATTGCTGCAGTATACATTTTAGTATTTTTTTCTGTTCCCTTGACTTGGTTTTCTTCAGAAATTTCTATTATCTGTATGTTGGATCTTATTTGCCTAGCTCCAATATTGTCACTTTTTCTCAAATTCTTTTAGTTTCTTTCATTTCTCTTTGATTTTTTTTTTCAAAGATTTATTTATTTATTTGACAGGCAGAGATCACAAGTAGGCAGAGAGGTAGGCAGAGAGACAGGGGGAAGCAGGCTCCCTGCTGAGCAGAGAGCCTGATGAGGGGCTCGATCCCAGGACCCTGAGATCATGACCTGAGCCAAAGGCAGAAGCCTAACCCACTGAGCCACCCAGGTGCCCCAATTTCTCTTTGATTTTTAATAATTTCCCCCCCTTTGTCTATTTCTTCATGCCTTACATTTTGTGTTTATTCACTTTTGGATTCCTTCTCATTTGGCTTTTATTTCTAATATGATTTCTTCATTTATTTCTAACTCTTAGAATTCTGTCATCTTATTTCTGAGTTTTCTAATTGTGATTTAGGTTGCTTTTCATGTCTCATTTTCTTAATGTCTTTTAGCTTATTTTGAAATAGTTACAGTTTTTGTGGGGTGCCTGGGTGGCTCAGTGGGTTAAAGCCTCTGCCTTCAGCTTGGGTCATGATCCCAGAGTCCTGGGATGGAGCCCCGCATCAGGCTCTCTGCTCAGCGGGGAGCCTGCTTCCCCCTCTCCCTCTGCCTGCCTCTCTGCCTATTTGTGATCTCTGTCTGTCAAATAAATAAATAAAAATCTTTAAAAAAAAAGAAAAAGAAAAACAGAAGTTGGTGTAGTTCAGAACAGGTTTTCTAACTTCCCAAGAAAGAATTCCATCTTTTATGATTTTTATATTGTTAAAAAAAATGTTTGGCAGCTTGCTTTCTGATATTTCCTTGTTATGCTCCTATTTGTGCGTTGTGCCCCTCCTTTTTTCTAAGCTTCCCCTGTACTCTGGCTCTCCTGTCTCTATCCTGATCAGTTTTGTTTCTACTCCCAATAGTCTCCCCTCAGGGTAGGGCTTTGCCCTCGAAGAGAGCCCTGGCTGGTTAGTTGTGAGAGTTCAGTGGGCCTTCAGTGCTCCAGGTTCCTCAGAGCCCGCTGCCAGACCTTGCCCTCAAGCACTGTTGGAGGGGATGCAACCCTCCCAACTTGAACTGCTGTTCAGTTTGGCCCATTGTACCTTCCCATGACTCCCTGTTGGCTACTTCGGGGTTATCCTTTGTTGGGTCTCTGAGGTGCCTCGTTGCTTCCCTCTACTTTCTCTCATATACACGTTAATGATATATAGATCTTATGACTGGAGGTAGTTTGTCTCTACCTGCTTGTATTTTGGGAGTTAAGAGAATATTTCATCCCCTCATTTTGCTGTAAATGGTGCTCATGGGATTTTGGTTTTGTTATCTGGTTGTTCATTTTTGTATGGGTTTGTTTGTTTGTTTTTTAAGATTTCATTCGTTTAGGGGCGCCTGGGTGGCTCAGTGGGTTAAAGCCTCTGCCTTCGGCTCAGGTCGTGATCCCGGGGTCGTGGGATCAAGCCCCGTGTCAGGCTTTCTGCTAGGTGGGGACCCTGCTTCCCTTCCTCTCTCTCTCTCTCTCTGGCTGCCTCTCTGCCTGCTTGTGATCTCTGTCTGTCAAATAAATCAATAAAATCTTTTTTATTTATTTTTTATTTTTTATTTTTTTTAAAGATTTTATTTATTTATTTGTCAGAGAGAGAGAGGGAGAGAGAGCAAGCACAGGCAGACAGAATGGCAGGCAGAGGCAGAGGGAGAAGCAGGCTTCCTGATGAGCAAGGAGCCCGATGTGGGACTCGATCCCAGCGTCCTGGGATCGA